TATATATATATATATACATGTGTGTATATATATACACACATATACATATATATGTGTGTATATATATACACACATATACATATACACACATATACATATATACTAAAACACTGTTTTAAGAGAAAAGCTAATTCTCCCCCACCCCCCACTATTCACAATATATTTTTACTGAATTTTTTTTATTAAGGATTTACAAATTTCTTTAAAAAGTGGAAAAACTGACATGTATTTTATTTTTTAAATGTAACTTTTCTTGTCTCATTAGAAATAATAAATAAGCACAGACTAAGATTTGAAGAAGCAACAAAGACAGCAATTAATTTACATTTCTTTGTAGTTGCTATTGTGTTTGCCATTACTAGGTACAGTAGTTCACTTATTACACATTTAAAACAGGTAACGTTTGAAATTGTTGTTCTTAACTGTCAACTTTTAAAGCTCACATCCTAAAAACAATTTATCAAGTTATTTGTCACTCTAGTGCAAAGGACACCATCCTGTGCTTTCCTTTGGATGACTGCTTTCCAGGAAGTGGCCTGTTTACAGTGGGAGGTTTAAATGGAAGTATGTTTTGTTATTGCAGTTCTGTTTAACACAGCTAGTAAATGTTTGCCAAAGTGTGTTTTTTAGTAGTTTATTTTTACTTTATCTGCTTTTTCAGATTTGACAACATGTTTTCTTATTTGTTATAATTTTGCTGACTAAGTGACAGTGATTACAAGAGTCAAAGTTGATCACATAGTTCCTTTTAATGGATGTAAACCCAGTCATACCAGTTCACTTCACAATGATACATTTGCACTAGCCATGAACAAAGGAAAAAAATTGCTTGAAATGAGGCTAAAGTGTGCACTGAGAAGCAATGTTGTTCACTTTGTTCACCAGAAGGGTTGCCACTAAAAAGTTTAGTCTCCAGCAGCAGGATTTAGACAGTGAATGAGACATTTATTCATGGAGTCTGTAGACATCAACAGAAGAGCTTTCTGAAAGCAGTAACAAAGTTCAATATGGAGGGAAGGTGGGCTGCAGACGAGTAGTAAGTGATATTTTTTGATGAAGTTCAAGGCACCAGCACAACCCTCATGGTGTTGGTGTAACCAGACCCTGGGCGCCACCCGGTCACAACAATGGCCATGTCTCCAGTTTTGAAGAATTTGCGGTGCTTGCCTACAAAAAGAGGTTTTTTAAAAAGGGAAAAAAAAGATTAAGTTAACAAGCAAAAATCTCTTGCTCAGCTTTACTGAGCTACCAGAACATCCTCTTAACTCTGACACTCACCAACTTCCATAGCAAAGTTCACACGCAGGTCCACGTCCTCAGCCCAGACGTCGTTGGCAGTCTTGGTGTAGAGCACAGGGTAGATACCGCGATACAGGTGAGCCTGGCGGGCGGCCTGACCGCAGCGGGTCAGAGCAATGATGGGGGCACGGGGCCTGTACCTCGACAGCATGTGAGCAGACCTGCAGGTGACAGGCACAAGTCACTGCACTCTGACATAACTTGGAGCAGTTATAAAATAGCTGGCTATTTATTTTAGAAGTTAGGGAACAAAATATTAATTCGTTTGAAGTTTAAATTAGTGTTATTAGTGCAAGTCTAATATTTATTCTCAATCCGTCTTTTAGTTCAACTGCTGATTAAAATGCTTGGCTTTCTAGCAGCTAAATGCTTTATTTAGTTTACCTGCCTGTTGCTAACTATCTGCTGTTTCACACTATGTAGGTAGCATGCTGTGAACACACCTACTGTGGCAGAAAGAGCCCACCAATAAGAGCAGAGCAAAGCAAAAAGGTGTGAGACAACCAACACTGAGCTGAAAGATGCTACACATCTCCACAGAGCTGATCTGAACAGCAAAGTCAGGAGATAATTTAGTTCCGTCATATAAATCACCATTTAAAAGTATTAAGTATAGCCCACGTTATTTCATAGGATTATCATTATGAAATCAGCCCAGTTGACTGTATGTATGTGCTGAGTGCCATGTGCTGGGAGGATGAACTCTAAAGTGGAGAAGAACGATTAGGGAGTTATAATTAACTTGTAAAATGTCAGGGTTCAGATCTCAAAAAGGTCACGGGCAGAGCACAGATTGTGATTGCAGTGAAACTTGGCACACTTCAAACGAGCTGGGGGCTTGCGTTCAAGAAGAAGCGGAGGCAGCAGGATAGAAAAATATTATAATGCCCCAGTTTCTTCTCTGAGAGTGGGCGCCGGGAGGATATTATGACTCAGCTTTACAGAGATTTACTGGGTGGAAATGTTCCCGGAGTCTCACCTGCCAGTCTTGGTTAGCACAATGATTGCACTGGCGCAGCACTTGAAAGAAGCCTCGACGGCACCAATAGCGACGGACTCTGTGGGGTCACGGGTCAAATGAGTGAGGCGACGCAGCTCCTCGAACACCTGCCTGTGGAACATGGCTGCCTCAGCTTCACGGGCGATCTGAATAAGTGAAAACAGATTACAGTGGCTGTCAGACTGCAGATACACAACTAGTCTGAGCTGTGGGAGCAAAGACCAAAGTTAGGTTTAGTGCGGAGTTCCTCATACCTGAAAGCAAAGTGAAACATCAAGCTACACAACAGCCATGGCTGCGACGTCCAGAGACCGTTGCTGTGCACTGCAGACACATGCAAGCTGAGCTCTATCACACCACGCAGAAGACAAGAGGAGATGCTGTTGGTAGCAGATGGAGTGCAGGAGCAGTGATGGGCAAAGAAGGTTGAAGAAATGGGAAACAAGCTGTTAGTAAAACCCAATGTGATGGCAGAGATGTCATGCCACCTTTGACCTCTGACCTTTCCTTAAAGGCCAACAGATTGAGCTGAAGGTCGAAGTGATAATAATGCGATGCAGAACAATTTATAACTACGTTTCTTACTGCCATTGTTTTTATTTACAACATATACGCATATAGCGAATCAGATATGTGGATTCTAAATATCAGGTTACTTTGACCTTTTTTGACCTTGAAGAAGAGGTCAGAGGTCCAAACTTTCATTAGATGGTCTTTATCTTTATAACTATGCTTAAAATTCTAGTGATTTTGTTTATATTAGTAGCATTTGAGAAATGATGCTGGTACATGGAGTCTAAACTGAGTTTTTCCTTCCCATTGTCCCCAAAGTGCTTGCTCAAAGGGGATCATATGATTGTTGGGGTTTTCTGTTTTCATCGTATTATTGAAAAAAAATTAATTGAACTGAATTATACCTGTTCTAAAAAGCGTAACGTACGTGACATGGCAGACTTGATTTTTGTAAGAAGCGCTTATGTTTACGGTCTTTTTTAAATTTCTCTGGATTTGAGCGTGGATAACATTCATGGCCTTGATCATTATCATCAAACTTTACTGATATGCCCTCATGGAACCTGTGAACAAAACGATGTTACATATTCTGAGCATAAATTTTCTGGACGCAAGGAACACAGTTCGCGATTAGTAAGCAAGACACGACAATAACGAGTGCAAAAGTGAAACAAGTAGCTTCAGATAAAAGGAACGCACAAAGGAGCAAGTCTAATCTGAATCATGTGAACCTTCTGTTGCTGAAAAACTATCTGTTTGGCAGCAAACGCTCAAGATTCACATGTAAGATAAACCACACACTTTATACTTATAATGAAAGCTTCCTCAAAGGCTCAAAACACAACAATTTGACTGAGTGTGACTGCTGCGGCAGCGGCAAACTTCACAGGAGGAGTTCTCACATCAGACATTCAAAAACCTTCTGGTGTTCTTTTGATATTGGTATTAAAGATGGTTACACTGAGCACATTCACACTGAAGCCATCTTACCAAATGCTGTGTGCGCACTGCCTCCAGAGGGTAGTCTCCCTTGGCCGTCTCACCGCTCAGCATGATACAGTCGTTGCCATCCAGCACAGCATTTGCAACATCACTGGCCTCAGCGCGAGTAGGGCGAGGCTTCTTGGTCATGCTTTCAAGCATCTTAATGTGAACAAAGAGACAGACTGCATCATTTCATGTCTGCAGAAAAGCACTTATTTGGACTCCACTAATCTGTGCTCCCATCACAGACCTGTGTGGCACAGACGATTGGCTTGCCAATCCTGTTGCATTTGCCGGTCATCATTTTCTGGGCGATGAAGACCTTCTCGGTTGGGATTTCAATTCCCAGATCTCCACGGGCCACCATGATGCCATCACTAGCTTCAAGGATCTCATCAAATCTTTTAGGAAGAAAAAAAAAAAAAGGGGGGATGAAGAAAAAAGTTCAAAAAGACAGACTTGTGCTGTGATCGTTTGCACACTACACCACCCACCTGCGCACGCCCTCATGGTTCTCCAGCTTGCTGATGATCTTGATGTCCTTGCCCTTCTCACCCAGCACTTTCCTGACAGCATGAACGTCAGCGGCCTTACGGATGAAAGAGGCGAAGACCATGTCAACACCCTGTTCCACGCCAAACTGCAGGTCCTGAACGTCCTTCTCAGACACTGCAGGCAGGTCAACAGCAGCTCCGGGCAGGTTGACGCCCTTCTTGCTGCCCAGCGTGCCGCCGTTCTCAATGTCACAAATCAAGTAATTGCTGCCTTCGGTTACAAGGAAGCACAGAAAAGATATTTCAGCTACTGGAGGCAGAACGAAAGGAGGACGGACAAATTGTTCGTGCTCTTACCGACTTCTTTAACCTTGAGGGAAATCAGACCGTCATCAACATAAATGTGGCTTCCAACCTGCACAACCTTAGTGATGTTTTTGTAGTCCAGCCACAGAATTTTCTCATCACAGTTGTCTTTGTACTGGTCATCGAGCGTGATCTTGATGGTTTCACCCTTTTTCAGCTCAACCTCAGCAGTGCCACTCTGAAAACAATTAGAAGTGACTTGAGGAGAGAGTTGCTCAAACTGGCCTCATTAGAGCTGCGGTAATCTGGCAAGAACTCACGCCTTTGATAAGTCCAGTCCTGATTTCTGGTCCCTTGGTGTCCAGAGCGATGGCCACTGGTCTGTAGTCAACAGATCCAGGTACAAAGCTCTCAGTTGCGTCGCGGACATTCTTGATGGTCTCGGCATGGTACTGCATGAAAACAGATGTTATATTAAAAAGATCTTGCAATGTTTTAACCCTTTAAAGCCGGTCGGAGGTTTTGCGTAACTATTTTTAAATCCCCGTAGAACCAGAACCACGTAAGCTAGCGCGATAATTTTTTTTGCATATGAAACCGGAGGAGTTGTACTTACATCTTATGCCATCAGCTTGTCCTAAGTCACGCTTTCCTTCCACATATAGTTTTGCAAAAATTGCATAAAAAGCAGTATATAAAAATTATATATCTCAAAAATAAAACAAAAATAACACTCAAAATAAATTTCCTGTTGTTGTAAACTATTTTTTGCAACTTTTTTGTATTTAAAGTTTTGAGGGATAAACTTCTTAAATTTCTCCAAGTAGAAGTATATGTAAAAAAAACAAAACAAAAACAATTTTAAATTTTTTTTGTAGTTTATTGCACTTTTTTGCAATTTATGTAGTTGCTATGGACTTAATGCATACATATTATTAAAATTTGGGCTATAACAGTTGTATTGATGTATAGCAACTTGAAATGCTCCCAAAGATGGGATTACAGCATGTAAAAATATAAAGTCAGCTCTGGCGGACTTGGTTCTATGGTAGGTCTTAAAGGGTTAAAAAGCAAATAAATTAAAAACGTTACAAAAATATTAAAGGTGGATATTTATACATTTTTCAAACCCTTTGTTTAAAAACAGCTAAATTCAGTTAGTAGAGCAACAGGTGACGCCTCAGTGCTGGTTATGTAACTATATATTTATTTATATGTGCAACATATTTTGAAAGGAAGACATTGTTCAGCTGAACTGTACATAAACAGCTGCCACATACGTCGGTACATGACAGGTATGAATGTATTTTTCACTTAAACAAAAACAGTGATGTGAATTCTGACTACTGTCCTTGGTCACTGGCTTCTCTACATGCCTTCCCCTCATACTGTTGCTGTGGGGGGGTGACTCCTATTTATAGCTGCACTGGCAACTGTGACACCAATAACACAGAGGTCAAATGTATTTTCCCCTCCTCAGAAGAAATCATACATTCACTTTGCTGTACAGATAAAACTGAGGTCTTTTTATTTGACTGCTGTTGAGTCAAGTTAAATTGGAGAGAATTTTTTTTTAACATACTTAATCTTTCAAGATCCAAAAATTAACTGTGGGTGTTCATTGCTACAGCTGATGACATTTGACGGCTCATCCACTCAGGTGACAGTGAAAAAGGGAAAGAGGCTTGACTTTTAAAGGCAAGGGGTCAACAGTGTAATGTCGGCTGAAGAGCTGGCCACGATACAGTGGGTTCACAAGCTACCAGACAGACTGAGCGCCAAAGGGGCGAGAGGAGGCTCAAAGATCATATTACAGATGGTCACCAGGCCACAGGAGTAATGGCACTCTGACTGCTGCTGCAGTAAAGGGTAAATCCTCACCGACTCACTTGTAAAGGGCAAAGAAACTGACTTGACGATCTGGGTTTGTACTGTCAAGCATGTGGCTTTACTGGAATCTGTGACGTCACAGTGTGTGATTGTGAAATCAGGGCTTTAGCAGGTTAGAACATTTAATGTGAAACAAATAAGGAACTGAGGTTGGCAGAAAGTATTTCTGACCCTTCACTCACTTCATGTGTGCCATGGGAGAAGTTCATTCTTGCAATGTTCATCCCAGCCTTGATCATTTCCTTGGCCATCTCCACAGATCGGGTGGCAGGTCCTGCATCGAGACAGTTAATGAACACAGTGAGACACGGGCCCAAGATGATCACATTTTTGCACCAAGGTCGTGTTTCTTTTTCGATGCAGATACATGAAGAAAATAATCAGATTGTACACATAATAAGCACAAATCAATGGGCCTTGGTAAAGCGCCTGACCAATTGTGCAGATGATGCCAGTGTTGCGAGCCACAGCCGGCTCAGAGTCGATATCCAGCAGGCACATGTGCTCAATAAAGGTGTCTGCCATAGCAGCTTGTAGCTGCTGGGTGTGGATGATAGAGGAGCCTGTATCCTTTGGCTTCGACATGGCTGGATCTGTGTCTGCAGGAAGAGACCTTGGAGAGAGAGAAAGAAACATGAAAGATAATCGACCGGGGCCCTGGTGACTCTGGTGTATGGCACCAACCACAGGTTATGTAGAAAATCTCCTGTTTTTTTCATGGGCATCTAATATTTTTACTCGTGACACAATGGAATTTGCACTTACAACCAATAAGTTGAAGAAGAATTTATATAGACAATAAAAAATCAACAAGAGCGTACAAACAAAAAAAGAGACCGAAAATATGTAATAGGAAAAGAAGAGTGCCAACACAAACTAAATGTTCCACCTCTCTGTGGATGACTTTCAACCCTCTCACAGTCCAGTTTTGGCTAACTGGAGAACAGCCGACACAAAAAGCAAGGACAACAGTATGGGGCTGAATGACTGCACTCTCCCACATTCCAGCATGAGTGTATGTTAAAGAAGAGGAGCTGATCACTTCTGACAGCGACTAAAGCTGATTCACATACACAAAAAAACCCGCACAAACTTGAGGAGGAGGCTGAAAAAAATAATGTTTCACGCCTGAAGTGTAATGCTGGTCCACAAGCCCACATTATAGAGACAAGTAAAACTTATATGATTCAGCTTGCACTTGTTTAGCCTGGAGGAGTGCAGCATGCTTGATAAAAGTGTGTTGTCGGGCAGTGCATGGATTTGTGGTGGGTGGGCTGAGACCATATGTCTGCCCTTTGTATTCACCTAAAATAACAGTCAGCTGAGGCTATTTGTGGACTGTAGAAACATCAACGTCATAATCAAACAGCAACAGACATTTTTATTAACTCAATATTTAAGTAAATCAAAGTCTTTATTGATCCCTTTGCTGTCTGCAAAACCAGCAAAAAATAAAATAAAATAAATAAGTGTAACAGCTACTTCCTAACCCAAATCACTGACTGAAAGGTGATACATTTGAACGTTAATAAATGTTATTGCGAGATTACGGTTTCTTTAAACGTGCAGTTCAGTAAGAACACATTTGGTTTTTAGCTGCTTAATTAACAGGTAACGTGCTACATATATACATAATTACCAGATAAATCTAAAGGATTGCATGTGCAAAACCAACATTAACGATTCTGATCTTCCACACAGCTAATATACTACATTTCTACACTTTTAAACCTTTCCTCCATCTCGAAGACACAAACTCTGCTGCTGTTACTCACCTACTAAGAGAACTTTGCAGGGACCAAAGCGCCACAAGTCCTGTCGCAGCGACCGGTTTTATGCCTGTAACTGACCGGGACTACTTTCCTTTGAGTGACATAGGATATAGGGCGGTGAGGGCAATAATGGTGAGTGAAGAGATGCTTGAATTAAATGTTTATTTTGACAGTTGTTTCAGATTCAGGGGGAAATATTCAGATAAAAAGACGGAGGTTTGCCAGATTTTGAGTTATACAAAGTTTACGCTTTAAAGCACAGGTGCAAGTTTAGTTCACAGTTTAATCACAGAGCTTCCGCCGAGTCCTCAAACATGACACCATCATCTGTTTGGCCCGGAGACAGCTCAAATTCAGTGCAAAATACCGATGATGTCGTATCTGGAAAATTTACCTCATAAGAACCAGGAGAAATATATGCAGTCATAAGGGATATGTACAAAAACAAGATAAATATATACAAAACAATAGAAAGGCACGCGTTAGAGAACAAGTTGCAAAGTGCTTGGAAGTGGTACAAAGTAAACACTTGGTGTAAATAGAGTCCGTGTGTGAGTGGCCCGAACAGAGGTGGGAAGTACAAATACTCCGTAACTGTACTTAAGTAGAATTTTCAGGTATGTGCAGTTTACTTGACTAGTTTTTTCTGACAACTTTTTACTTGTACTCCCTACATTTTTGCACTCTTCAAACTGATTTGTGTGGTGGCCACCGTAGATTTGAGCCTAAACAGTAACAAATGGAAAGCAATCCTGTTCATGTATTAATCACCAGGAGATGTCATATAAAAAGAGATGAGATGAGATGTGCCAAATCCAGGGGTTAAAGTGGGCCGGTGTTTTATTTTGTTTTTGTATTTTTTAAATATTGATATGTTCCCTCCTTTTAAATCCCGTTTGTCATTTTTAACCCTGATAAATCCCTCTGAGCTGATTGGTGGTGTCATGAGAAAAATGGCGCCTCGTTATTTGTGTTACAGAGACACTGAGGCACGAGACCAGACAGAAGAGGGGTTTTTTTTATTTCTTTTTTGTGTAACTAAAATAATTGTGTAACTAAGATAATAGTGACACATGTATGGATTTGCACAAACTGGAGATGGAGACCTTGTTTGCTGAGGTCTTTAATCTTGTCAAACTGACAGACAGAGAAGACCATTCAGAAAATGACGATTCTGCGAATGTAAGATCTGGAACACCGGGAATGAAATAGTCACTGTCTGAGGCCTGTTGGTGAGGAAATCTGTGATCCAGGACCAGGTGGGCGGGGGGATCTGAAGATGGTCCATACTTATGATATTGCTTTGTAATGTGTGTTATTGTGCTGTAAAATAGATGTAGTCTCATCATCTAAGGTCACACTTGAATGCTTTCTGTTCTTTGATGCTTAGTTTTTAATCAGGTTCAACCCCCAAATTCAGGAGTCAAAAACCTACCATATCACGCAGTTTTTCAACTTGACGTTTAATACCAGTCAGAACGTTGGCTTCCGCAGACTCTCATTTATTGCCCTTACTTTATTTTCCAACTTAGTTAAACTTTTGATGTATCCCTTCTTTCCAGTGGCTTCATATTAAGAACCACCAACTTGCATTTAAGACTCACAGAAAAATCTCTTTTCCCCCCCTGATGCCAGTGCTGTCTTCCACACTGACACATGAGCTCCATCCAGGACATGAAAGGTTACCAAATGGTTAATGAGTATGTGAGTCATATACTATGGCCTTCACATTCAAGAGCTCTTAACCCAGTCGAGACTCCCTTTCCATTGCCAGAGCAAATAATCAAAACAGCCAATAGGGAAATGCCTTTTGAAAGAACGCTTTTCCATCCTAGAGACATGTAAAAGCAATAAGCTGTCCTGGCAGCATGTGGTAGCTCATCACCTTGTCCAGACACTTTGTTCTTTTAATATCTCATAGTCCTAATGCATTTAAGAGTTTTTTTATTTTGTTTTGTTGCATTGTGTATTCTTTTCCCATTATTATTTCAGGTTTTATCCATATTTGACTTTTCAATTTAACTGAGCAGTGTCTCTCTTGACTTCTTACACAATTCTTACAAAAACTCCTCGTGGCTCATTTTTACTTAATCTCTAAGTTCCACCTTAAATTTGAAAGACTTCTTTCAGTTGTTTTTTCCTGGTGTCGCTGCAGTGGATCATCTCCCTCCATCTTACCCTGTCCCCAGCAACCACCACTATCACCCTCTGCATGTCCTGCTTCATTACATCCATGGCAGTTCAGTCTTCAACCTCATTTGTCCAATATATCCGCTATCCTTCCTCTGCACATGTTCAAACCATTCCTGATCCTGTCCATTCTGATCATTCCAAATGTAAATCCTAACATCCTTAGCTCAGCCTGCTGCTGTCTTTTTGTTTGTGTCACTGTGTCCAAACCACACATCATAGCATCCTGTAAACCACCTATTTCACTCCTGCTGTCATACTTCTGTAAAATATTATCACTGATACTCATTTCCACCCAATTGTGCCCTATTTGCACTCTCTTTTTCACTCATCTCGTAGTGTCCGTTACTTTAGATAGTTGACTCCAGTTCTCTTTCACTACCTCTACTCCTTCCATCTTCACCTTAAAGGACTACTAAGTCAAAAATAATCAGCTTGTCATAGTTCAACTTCCTTCATTTGGCAAGCACAGAAATGCAAAATCTAACATGCACGTGCTGTAATGCAGTGGTAACATGCCGCTCCACACCATAAAACCAGACCCACCCAGAGTTGACCCAGAGTTGACTCAATTCAGTTTTATTTGTATAGTGCCAAATCACAACAACAATCACCACCAGGTACTTAATATTGTAAGGTAAAGACTCTACATTAATACAGAGAAAACCCCAACAATCAGATGACATATAACAGCACTTGATAGTGACAGTGGGAAGGAAAACCTCCCTTTTAACAGGAAGAATGTCAGGGATGGCTGTGTGGCAGACATGACTCAAAAAGGACAAATGGAAAATTCAAAAGCAGCTCTACTGCTGATCTAAGAATGACAAAATGCATAATACAAAATAACTCAGGCTACACAGAGGAAACAAGGCTCTAAGAGGAAGGAGGAAACACAAAACACACAAAGCACACAGCAAGAGGGAGAACACGACATGGGGCAAGAAAAGACAGACATAAAGAAGAAGAAGAGCTGAATACAATGCACACAAGACAAGAGACTATCAAAATAAGACAGGAGATGACACTTAGACCTAAGACACACCAGCATGACAGAGACAGAGGAAAAACACTGAGACAAGAGGGGAACTATAAATGGATATAAATAAGCTCTCCTTAACCAAAGACACGATAACAGGAACTGAACCAAAACAATATAAACAGAATACAGAATGAAACCAAAAATAATTAAAAATACAAACCAGAGAAACTCAAAACGGCGACAAAGAAACCTTCAGCAGAACCAGGATCAGCGAGGGGCATCCAGCTGGCCACGACTGGTTGGGAGTTGTATTCAGCACATATTTTCACACTCTCCAGAGTTTCATTAAACCAGTAGGCCAGTCATTTCTAATCTCTCTTTAAAATGTTTATGTGTAATTCACATGTATAACACCTTAGATGATTTTTAAATTCATCCACTTTTTTTTTTATAGAAAATGACATAAGTGAAAGGAAAGGCTTCTCGACAAGGATGACGCCCTTTAGGCTCTTCTAGTCTGTTAAACTGGGTGTAAGTATACAAATTTTACACTCATTTATGACTCATAAATATTCATACAGTGTGTGAATAGCGTAATCCTCTGAGATTACAGCACTGGCTCCAAACTGGCTTTCACTGACCTTCCATCTATATGTGGATAAATCTGGAGCCGCCAGAAGCAGCGAAATGCGCCGCTGATTTCCAGATTACAGATGGGTTAAAAGCTCAAACAATGATGCAATGAAATCCAAGACGCCATCCCTCTTCTTACTTATCTTTTTTAAATCTTACTGCATTCAAGCAGAGACAGCATCACAACAACAACATGGGTAAATGTGTTCATTTTTGTAATATTGTAGATCACAGAGCAGTAGGTTTTGTACCATTTTACATTGTTTCCACTATTTTGTCCACATTTTTTAACAATATATGTGGATATTTTTTAAAAATTGTAAATTAATTGCAAACCCTACTTTGTCCTGAAATCTACGTGCAGCGGTTAACAAATTTATTAAACCACCGAGCAGTGAAAGGCCTGATTTAACAATAATGACAATGGCAATTTGATTTATATAGGACACTTCATTACATGAAAAGTCAATGTGCTTAACGCAGAAAAGGAAGAAACATAAAAAATAATAATAATTTATGAAAATCATTTTTTCTGTTTCTGTCAGTATGTGCAAGCACTTTCAACAAACTGATATTTGGAAAATTGCTAAAATATAATTATTGTTGTTATATATTGATTAAAAAGCAGAAAAATAGTAAAACAATATTATTTTGTTATTTGCTCGTATTCCTGAACAGAAAGAAAATATGATATGTAGTTCTCGAAAATTATGCTTGACAAATTTTTGACTTCGAGAAGTCGGGTATGCCGGTACACATTTGGGTATAAAAACATAATTTCAGTTCAGTGAATTTTTTTGTTTGTTTGTTTGTTTGTTTGTTTTAAACAGGTGTTTGACAGATTTCAAAAATATTTGTGGTTTTTTTATTTTTCTGCATGTGGTCTAAAACATGTTTTACCTACTGTATGTCAAACAAGTCTGGGATTACAAAGCAAAAGCTAAAGGAAGGATTATCAAAAGACTTGATATAGCATCAATATTACATCTATGCCTATAAAACGTATAAATCGATAAAATTCTGAGAAGCCTCAGCAGTGACATTTAAAGTTTCAAAAAGTTGCAGTTTGACTTTTGTACATTTACTGCAAAACATGTCGAATAAACCATAACCTGCCCCCCCCCCTCTCTCTCTCTCTCTCTCAACAACTCAACAGCAGCTCTCTCTTGTGGACAATCTGCTGAACTGTGACTTTTCTGTCACAGTATCAACATACTGTGCAACTTAGCACAAATGATCATGGTGTCATACAGATTACAAACC